CCAGCGGGCAGCGGGCGAAGGAATGACATGTTTATTTGTGCGTGTTTGCACCTTCATTCATCAGGGCATCTGCTGGCGATTTGCATTTCGTTTCTGGCCGAGTGGAGTCCCGACATGGACACGAACCGGGCGGCCATCAAGCTGGAGCTCTGGCGTAACAGCTTCGACACCTTCTGGGACGCCAACCTGCGGTTCGACAAGGATAACCGACTGAACGGAGCCTTTATCATGCTCCAGCAGTTCCCAGGGACCACCAGCTTCAGCGATCTGAAGGCGGTGGCACCCGAGGCCGTTGCCGAAGTCCCCATTCAGATCCCCATGCCGAGCTTCGAGTCGAGATTCATAGGCTGCCCCCCCGGCACCTTTAATGATGGTCGGTCGGTTGAACAAGCAAGACCTGCAGCGAAGGCTGGCAACTCACGCCGATTGATTGACGGTTGTGTTCTCTCTCTCTCTCTCTCTCTCTCCGTGTGTGTGTGTGTGTGTGTTATGTATGCAGGGCTGGAGTGCAGAAACTGCTCCGCCAACACCTTCTCGGACACGACAAATGCCACTCGGTGCGAGTTCTGCCCACCTGGTAGGTATCCACGTCTTTCAAGACACCAGCACACACGGAGACAGGCGAACGGAAAATGGTCTTTGTTCGTTTGTTGCCGAGTGTGATGTGGTGTGGTACATATGGATGGCTGCCATTGACATATGTACCCCTGCATGTGTGCGTGTGTGAATGAACGTATGCACATATGTGTGTACACACGTGTCAGGGCAAGGCCAGCCGCTGGAGGGTCAGACGAGCTGCACCGACTGCGAGGTCGGCCAGGCCAACCCGGGCGGATCTGCTGAAGGGTGCCGGGACTGCACCATGGGCACCTTCTCGGACAGAAAAGGGTCGAGTGTGTGCCAGCGATGCGCCACGGGGGAGTTTAATGACAGAGAGAGACAGAGCGGCTGCACCAAGTGCGGCAAGACACGTACCACAGGAGAGCTTGGCAGTGTGTCGGCCAAGCAGTGCGTGTGCAAAGAGGGCTACTTCTTCACTGGTCAGTCTACTCACTCGTACCAACTCACTCACTGACTCACTCATCCAGGTCGCCAGACTGAAATGAGTGTTTGTGTCTCCGTGTGGTGAGTGCAGGACTGTACGAGCTCGTGGGAGACACAAACAAGACCAGCTTCAAGGGGACCACAGAACCTCGGGAGCTCATCAATGCGACGATCCCAGAAGGCACCTGCAAGCTGTGCAATGACGACCTCTACGAATGCAGAGGTGGCTTTGTCTCTCTGTCTGTCTATCCGTTAAAAGATGTCATATACATATGTATGTACAAGTTCGTGTATGAGTGTATGTGTGCATTGCAGGGAGCTTCCACCCGCCCAAAGCAAAGGATGGATTCTACATGGAAGCCTATGACATAACATATCGGGACGACAACGGCTTCCCCGCCATCTACGAGTGCAGCCCGCGGTCCTCTTGCGAAGGCGGCGCCCCACAAAAGTGCAAAAAGCACCGCACGGGAATTGCTTGTGGCCGGTGTGAAGACGGATACTCCAAGGTCAGAAAGAAGGACTGCACGCAGACAGACAGACAGACAGACGGACAGGGCAGGTAGGTGGGTGGGCAATGGGAGAGGAAAACTGATAGCTAAGGAGTCAGTCATCAGTCGGTCAATCCTCGTGTGTACGTCTTGTGTGGTCCTGTCCTGTGTTGTGTCGTGCTGTGCCGTGCTGTGCTGGTCCTTCCCGTACGCACGCAGAGCCGGGGTGGCAGGTGTAACAAGTGCTCGATCAAGGGCAACCGAGCCGGCTTTCTGATCATTTGCCTGCTCGTCATGCTGCCGATCGGCGCCTACTTCTACTCCAAGACGTCCTATGAGGACCCGCGCAAGGGCGACGGCACACTGAGCGCGTCCACCAGGAGCGTCATGAGTAGTCGGACGGACCGCGAGGCGGCCGACGACCCCAACAAGGCGTTTCTGATCATCCTGTCGTTTCTGCAGCACATCGGCATCATCAGCAGCTTCAACCTCAAGATGCCAGTCGATGTGCTGACACTCTTCAGCATCCCGCGCATCTTCATGCTCGACCCGAGCATCCTCAGCATGTCGTGCTGGGGTTTTGACACATATGGCAAGCAGCTCGCCTTCACCTACTCCATACCCCTTATCTTCGTCGCCTCCGTCATCGTACTCCACTTCTCATTCAGGGTACCTATCCATCTGCATACCGATCTACACGCACCAACCAACCCATTAAGCAACCATCAAAGAGCCCCGTGTTGTGCGGACATGTGTGTGCAGCTTCTTGGTCATGTCGGCGGCAACTGGGCCCCTCTCAACCCCGCACGCTACTCGGGAAAGAAGGCGGCGTTTCTGCAGGTGCGAACCCGTATGTGCACGCCAATGGAGACAGTGATGAGGATGTCTGTCTCGTTCTTTGTACGTACGCACGCGTCTGCTGCAGTGGTTCCGCAAGAGGTTCATCGATGGATCACACGGTGTCGGATCCATCAGAGTGCGTGAGACATGGGCAAGCTTGGCATCCATTCGCCTCTTCTCGCTGGCTGACATGTGCTCTGTATGCGTGGTTTGCCACGTGCCATGTGTCTGTGTGTGGGTGCAGATTCTGGCGACCGTTGCCCAGACGAGCTCATTCCTCTACGTGGCCCTTTCCAGTCTCGCTACCGCTGGCATCGACTGCTACCGCGTAATGACGACACGAAACAAAGATCAATGGAATGAGCCAAATGTGATTGAATCTGTCTGTCTGTCTGTCTTGCCGCACTCACGCTTATGTCTGCGTCTGGTCGCGGCCCGCAGCACCCCTCTGGCGACTACACGGTCCGTTCTCACCCATACATTTTCTGCCATGCCGCCCGCGCATACGGGGGGCGCGAGCCGGAAGACCGGGAGAAGGAATACAGGGACCAGCTGTGGATGGTGGGGCTGGCCATGTTCCTCTACATATTCTGCCCCTATATCATCGCCATTGTCGTGTCCTTCCGAGTGCAAAACCTCGTCAACTTCAAGAGAAAGAACGGCAGGAACCTGGAAGGTGCGTATGAAGAGTGTGCTCCCGGCACAAGCCCACACATTGTCACACAATCTAGTGAACGTGATGTGTGTGTGTGTGTCTGTCTGTCTGTGTCTGTGTCTGTCTGTCTGTCTGTCAGAGTCGGACGCCATCTTCAAGGCGGCCTTCAAATATGTCGTGGTACGTGCATGTGTGATGAATTCCTTCGCCTGGCTTGGCTGTCGGCTCCGCATTGTCCACACGCCAATTGTGCGAGTGTGTGTGCGTGTCAGGGCAAGTACCGCAATGGAATGGTCTGGTGGGGTAAGAAGCATCAAAAGCACACTCAGACACACTTTTCATGCCCAACACTTCTACAACATCTGGAAAATATGCGTGATGATGGCGACGCATGCTCTTGTGTGTGTGTATATGGATGTCTGTCCCCCGTGCCACACAAGAGTGCATTTGGATGGTGAGCGCCAGTGACCGAAGGGGACCAAAGAAAGAAATACTCGCTCAGGTGTGGCTTTTCCTGACTGCTGCAGGCCCGAAATGCCGTGCTCGCGCTCAGCACGGTGCTCCTTCCCAACCTGGGTGCGTGGCCGGATGAGTGGGAGACATCGGCATGGGAGAGTGTCTGTGTGTGTGTGTGTGTGTGTTTGTGTCCAGGCCAGCTGCAGCTCATGTACTACGCAGTCATCCTGACCTTCTACGTAAGTATGTGCCATTTTGTTCCATCCAAGCCCATTGGATGCTTGGGCTCTTGTGCTTACCCTTGTGGTTGACAGAATTTCGGAACGGTGAGCGTGCACGTCTCCCTCCCTCCCTCTCTCCCCTCTCTCCCTCTCTCCCTCCCTCCCTCCCTCCCTCCCTGCCTGCCTGCCGCCTGCCACTTGCTGTTTGTACACATACATGCCTCGATCGTATCCGTTGCATGTGTGTATACATGTGTATTGTGTATTGTGTGATTACATATGTACATAGCTGTCGCTGGCTCCCTGGCGCCGGTCGGCCAACAGCAAGCTTGATGTGGCGCTGACGCTCGTGCTTCTGCACATAATCACCATGGTCGGCCTCTTCTACACCTTCCCCGTCCCCGATGATAACATCAACATGTCTGCCGCCAGGTTCTCCACCGGTAGGGATTGAGTGGCCTTGCCGGGAAGGAAGCGAAACAGGACACCCAAAGACGCATGTACGCATGGAGGTGTCTGTGCGTGCGTCAGCTGTGCTGCTCTTTGTGGAGGTGCTGGCCCTGGTGCCCTTCCTGTACTTGTTTGGGTCAGGGGTGAGCGATGCTCGGCCAGACAAGGGGATACAAACGACAGACACCCTTCACTCCCTCTGTGTGTGTGCTCCGTGTGTCAGTTCAAGAAGGGCAGCAGCAGTTCGCGCCGCTTCAGTGCCATTTTCCAGTCCTCGAGGCGCGTCTCGAGGATGCACGTGGGTGGCGCAAGTGAGAAGAACATCAAGCCACTCAACGACGACGAGTCGTCCATCAGGAAGCAAGAAAAGAAGGTGGGGCTGGGCGACTGACTGACTGACGCGTGTTAATGTTGAATAAGTCGCGGGCGTTTGACATTTCACCATGAGTGCTCTGTCTCGCTGGCTGCCTGCAGGGGGCTGCCATTCACCCGGCCGAGCAAAACATGGTACCATGCAATCAATCGATACAAAAAATAAAGCCAGTTTTTTCTGTGTCCTTTCTCTCTGTCTCTCAGCCTGCCACCCAGTTGCCTGCCACCACGCAATACGCTGAGCAGCCAGCTACCGCCAAGGTATGACGTACGTGTGTGGTGTGAGTGAAGGCATTCATCGTGCATTCAACTCACGAACGCATCGGATGCCGCGTGTGGCTGCCCTGTCATGTGGTGTCATGTGGTGTCGTATCGATCGATCGATCCTCACCATCAGGCGCACTCGTCAGAGATTGACGCCATGGATCTCGCCTAGGGACGTTGGCGCCAAACGACAAGCCCCCCTAAGAAATAGGTAAGTGAGTACGTCAGTGTGGTGTCTCCTTGCTCGCTCACCCACTCGCGTGGCTGGCTCGTGTCGTGTGTGTGTGTGTGTATGCCATCCATCAGCACTTCGTGTGTGCCCGCAGCCGGCATCACGAAGCAGTCAGCTCATCAAGACCCGCCCGTAGGAAGGGCAGCAACCTCTCTAGTCGGTAGCAGCATCATCTGCGTGTTTCTTCCGGTCGGTCGGTCGATCGGTCGATAGTCAGTAGATAGAAGGCTCGTAGATCAGGGTAAGTAAAGAATAGCTGTACGTTAGCTGCCGGGCGTCCCATCATGTCGCCCCCCGATCGGGCGCGGAAGTCGCGCCCGTGTGGACAGCAGTGTAGCACCGTATTCTATAGATGGTGCACGGAAAGAGGAGAAAGGGAAAAAGAGAGAGGAGCGCGGCTTCCCCTAGTGAGCACACAAATGTTGTCTCCATGCCTGCCTACCGCGGAGGTGTAATTAATTGTGGACACTGCATCCACTGAATGTGCGAATGAATCCATCCATCCATTCATAAAAGCTCGTCTAAGGGTTTCTCTCAGTCTTTCTCCACCGCTCTGATCCGCCCAGACATGCACACACGCAGAGCGGACGGGCAGTCACACATCGACCATAGGCACACAAACTTTGTGGAAGACGTTGCCACAGTGACAATGGGTGGCTTTCTGACGAGCTCTTTCTCTTTCTCTCTCTCTCTGTGTGAGTGTGTGTGTATGTGTGTCAGTGCTATGTTTGGTGGCTGCTCATCGTGTCCGTGTAAGCCTTGGATGGCTTGGGGTTGGTCTTGAGCTCCATGGCCAAGTGCTCACTCCCGGCGAACCGACGACGATACTCACACAAACACAACTCGACGTCCTTCTGCACACACATGACGTCACATGACGTCACATGACGTCACACCACATGCCGCCATGGGATGGGCACAAGCAAGAGGGAGAGAGATGCTGCTCACGCGAGGAGGGTTCCGCCAGCCCCTGGTTGCGTTGACGTTCCAGTTCTTCTCGAAACGCGCCTTCATCAGATACCTGAGAGACACAGCACAAGACACAGGCATGTGTTGGATGGATGGATGGATCTGTGGTCGCTGGCTCACTCGTTGATGTCCATTATGTCGAGCTCCTCGGGGACACTGTAGCTCTGCAGCTGCGATAGGTCCCTGCACGAGCCGCGAGGTGGGGCCTTCCCATAAGAACCCTCCATCGCGCGAGGCAACTGCATTACAGACACATCAACGACATGGACGACGTACCGTTCTTCGCACTGTGCGTGTCTCCATCTCTCCTCCTCCCGTTGCCTCCCCTGCCCTCCCTCCCTCCCTCCCTCCCTCCCTGTCTCTGGTCTGTACATACCCATCTGATGTTGTGTGTGTAATTGGGGGACTTGTACACGCCCAGCACGTGTATGTCCATCGCCAGCTCGCCGTACACGAAGGTGAAGGGCGCCTCGCCCCGCAGCACACTCTCGGGCAACATCGTCACCAGACGTGGCGCCGAGCCGCTGCACAAGTAGTAGTCTGAACCACACACGGAGAGAGGGAGGGATGCAGGGAGGGAGGCGTTTTTAGAGAGGGAGGGAGGTAGGCTGGTTGGCTTACTGGCGTCTGTTGGGCCGATGGTGCGGCCATCTGGGAAGCGAAACTCGTGATGAATCTCCGCCGAATCGTCCTGAGAGTTCGGAGAATGAAGAAGGACGGCTGTCTCTGTGTGATGTTTCTGTGTCTATCTCACTGACAGGGTAATCGAATGTGGCCAGAAACACACGGCAGAGGTTCCACAATGTGATGTTCATCCACAGCTGGCCAGCACACAACACCGATCCATCCATCCATCCATCCATCCCCTGACGGCTGCCTCTGCTGTTCACTCACCCCTAGGTATCTCACGAGGCAAGAGCCCTCAGCAAACTGCTCGCTCACCGCCCGCACCTCCAGCACGTCAAGCGAGTTGATGACGTCCGGATCCTCAGACACACTACCACCTCCACCACCACCACCACCACCAGCCGCCTTGCTCCCCTCCCTCTGTTTCTTTTTCTCTCTCTCCGCGCCCCCTCTGCGTCTCATGAGGTGGGCGTCCGCCCCTCCCGCCATGTGTGGGATGAGTGTGTCGCTGTGTATGGCTGCGTCGGGGACAGTGCGGATGGGGTTGCTGATGGGGAAGCGCCGCTGGCGGGCCGACGCGAAGAGCACGCGGAAGCGGTCCAGCTCGCTCTCGTGCATCCCTGCAGACAGAAGGCCCGAGAGACAGAGGCAGAGAGACAGAGGGAGAGGTGTGCCGGACTTGAGTTGCTGGTGGAGCTCTTTGTGTGTACATGGCAGTCGCTCTGCGGGCTCCCATACGGGCTCTTTGAAGCGCTTCTTCACCTGAACGAACAAACGAACAACGAACAGGGAAGGGAAGGCACTTTCATGTGTGTGGGGTGTGGTTGAATGGCTGTGTCTCGTTGTCTACCAGGTACAGGTAGCGCCGGCCGTTCCACTTGGAATCGAGCAAACCTGAAGACACAACACAAACCACACAATACACACCAGATACACACATGACAAACACGACCACCCATCCACCGATCCACCCATCCCTCCATCCATCCATCTGACCTTCGAACATTGATTCGTCTGCATCTTCCTCCTCCTCTTCCTCCTCCATACGCTCGTCATCCTCACACTCATCCTCACCACCAACGCCCACACCCACACCCACCAGCGGCCCTCGCTTCACCCCCTGGCCGCCCCCAGACGCCAGACGAGGGCCCCGCTTGCCCGACCCCACAGCGCGGCGGCGCTGGGTGGTGCCCATGTAGCCTGACGAGCTGCTGCTGGTCGCCTTCGGTTTGGACGCTGGGCGCGACGGGCTGGATGAGGAGGGGGTCAGCGATGGGCTCGACGTGTGACGGCGCGACCGTGACTGCGACTGGGGCCGTGGCCGTGGTGTGCCGCTCCGACCCATGCGGGCCTTCTTATGCTGTGCCTGCTCCGCCTGCGCGGCCGCCTCCAGCCGCCGCTTGGCGTTCATCTTGGCGTGGCGGTGGGCTCGGTTGTCTCTCCCCGCCCCCTCCTTCTGCCCCTGCCCCTGCCCGTCTTTGATGGACAGCCCAAACACGGCGGGCATCCTGATCGGGCCAGCCCGCAGGTCGCAGCTGACCGGGCCGGTGAGGAAGCAGCCGCGGTGCAGCGCCCGGCTGACGCGGCCCACGCGGCCGGCTCCACCATCCAGATGGAGTGGCTCCAGAGTGCCGTTCTGGGCGTGCTGCTTGACGAGGCCCCTCAGGTGCGCTGCCAGGGGGGCGGCCTTGCCGTTGCCCTTGCCCCCACCAATGGCAGCGTGGGGGACAGGGAGATGCGGGCGCTGCTGGTGCTGGTGCTGGTGGCGGTGCTGCTCGCGGTGGTGGTGGGGCTGTTTGTCAGCGTCTTCGGCATTGTGATCGTCATATGTGTGTGTGGAGAGGGAGAGGCCGTCGGGCAGTGTGCGGGAGGAGGCGAGCTGGGTGAGCTGTGAGATGAAGTCGCGGGGCGGGAGGACGTAGAGGGCACGGACGAGCCGCTCCTGCGCCTTGCGCGAGAGGTGCTGCCACACAGACGCACAGACACGGAGATGGACACGGTGTGGTGGTGTGTGGTGGGGAATGGGTGTGTGTTGTGATGACTGACTGACCTTGGTGGGCACCGTGGGCAGGTCGCGGGCCCGGTTCTTCTTGCTATTGGCAGCGAGGTTGGAATTCCACCAGCTCCCCTGCAGCTCCCTGCTCACACACAGACACAGACAGACACACATAGCAGTCAGTACAGTATAGGTGCAATCGATTGCTGATATTCCTTCCACGCGTGGAGTGGAGTGGAGTGGAGGGGGGAGGGGGGCGTGTAGAAATGTCGACCTGTTGATTCTGAGTATGTCGATGGGTGCGTTGTTGTCGGGGTACATGGCCAGCCGGCCCTCATCGGTGACGATCCGACGCGACGGCGCGACACCCACACTGCCCTCAGCCACCAAACGCGGAAACTGACCAAACACCCGGAAACACACACATCCATCCATCCATCCCTCTCTCTCTGTGTGTGTGTGGGGCACTGCACCCATCCGATCCGCCCACCGACCGACCGACCCATTTGTGTAGGTTAAGCAGGCCGGCCCCCCTGTCCTCCATCCGCTGCTCGTACACGATGACGTCCTCGACGACCACGTGGAATGTGACGGCGCCGTAGACGAGCTTGAATGTGGTGCCGATGAACGACCTGTCCTTGTCGAAGTCGGGCCGGGGGCAGCGGGAGCCGCTCTGGTTCTTGTAGTCGAAATCTGAACACACACAACACACACACACACACACGCATCCACCCTTGTGTGTATGTGTGTGTGTGTGTGTGGTAGTGTTGATGGATGTGTCGGGGTGGGGGCCGGCCTGACCTGTGTGTGGCAGTATGGAGCCGTCTGGCAGCTCCCAGTGGTGCGGGACAGTGGACTGGCCCTCGTTGACCCAATGCTGAACACACACCCAGAGAGAGAGACACGCCTGGCGGGATGGGGGCAGCAGTGTTGTGTGACAGGGTCACCTCGACTTCATGGTCCAGCGACATGGCCAGCGCACGGTACAAGTTGTACCACGTCAAACCTGCACACACACACACACACCGCACTTAAGGAGTGAGAACGATAGATACCGTCAAGTTTGCGTGCTGTGTGTCCGTGTGTGTGGTGCTGCTTTACTTCCGAGGCATGCGATCCGTCTGACGACCCTCTGCCCGCCCACAACGGCCTCAAACTTATACATCAGCACACCGGGCTTACGCTCACCCATCTTACGATTCGCAAACCTACCGGCGCCCCCGCCGCCCCTCCTACCCCCCCTCACGCCCACATCCCCCTTGTCATTGGCCTTGTTCTCACCACCACCACCACCACCACACACACCCTCTCCCTCTCCCTCTCCCTTCGCCACCATGCGCATCTTCCGCCGCTTGAGCCGGTCGTGTGCTGCTGCTGCTGGTGCTTCGTCGGGCCATGTGAGAGTGTGTTGCGGCTGCATCTTGATGGAGCTGACGAATGCGTGGCGGCTGTGCGTGTCTGCGAGGAATGGGGCGATGGGTTTGGCGAAGAGCTGGTCGAGCCGATGGGACAGCAGCAGGTCGACCGGGGGAGGGATGCTGTCCTGCACACACACACATACACATACACACACACTCAAGGGAAGCGTATTAGGGCCGCCTTGTGGGGTGCGTGTGGTGTGTGCTGGTGACATACATACATACCGGTAGCTGCAGAAGGCGACGCAGCGTTCTGTCACGGAACTCTCTGACACCAACCAACCAACCAAGCAGCCAGCCAGCCATGGAAAAGGCCAATGTGGTCATGTGTGTGTGGTTTTGTGTGTGGGGTCGTGGTGCACCCACCCATTGATTTCGTGTACGTCGACGTCGGTCTGCACACGATGGGCGGCGAGGCCATACGGCGACCCGCACGCATCCACAGAAGGGGCCGTGCCTCGAGCACTCGACACACGGGGAACCTGCAGACACACACACACACACACACACAGACAGACAGACATGATGGATGGCTTCTCATGTGTGTATGTCAGTGACACATACATACCCATTGCAGGTCACTGTCTGTGAAAGTGACGATGTCTGTGAGTGTGACGGTGAGCTGCAGGACGCCGAACGAGTAGCCGAAGGTGCCTCTGCGGCCGACGGCATGTGTGCTGAGGACGTCGTGCAGACGGTGGTCGTCCGTGCACATGGAGCCGGCATTGGCCGACGAGTAGATGGCGTCAGAGAAGAAGAAACAATGCCTATGGGCATCGTTGCCCTGCACACACCACACACACCACATCACACCCACCACACCACACGTACGTCCTGCCCTCCCCAGCCCCCTCTCTGCACCCACCGGCCCCACCTGCATGTCAAGGGCCGTCAGGAAACACACGTGCAGCTGGTACAACGACAGTCTGGCCGGCACCGCCACCACACGACGCACCTCCCCTTCTCGAAACGACCGGCACTCGAGCAGCAGCTCCACCCCATCCTCGCACCCCACACCCGCGGGCGCATCACCACCACCCACAGCAGCCCCGCGCGGCACATCGCCTGCCGACGGGTCGTCTTGTGAGAAGTTCATGCACTCGGCACTGTGGGCCATGTCGTCACTCGAGGCGTACTTGAGGGGCGAGGGCGGGGAGGGGGAGGGGCAGATGGAGAAGGCCGGGCCAGATGGGGTCACCGTGGTCTTGGTGGTGGTGGTCTTGCGCTTAGAAGGGGGAGAGGGGGGGATGTTGCTGAGAAGACGGTTCAGACGCCCAGACGCCAGAAGCTTATGCAACTGCCATAGATCAAGACACCATCAAAGGTTTCCTGGAGCTGCCAAATCCCGCTAGCCCTTTCTGTGGGTGTGTAGGTATGTACCTGCTTCACAGTCATCTGGGGGAACACGATATCGCGGCATCCAACCAATGGCATCCCCGTCGCCGACGGACAGAAGGCCGAACGCGCCGCCTTCAAGTTGCCCATGGCCACAAACGGGACCTTGGCCGCTGCTGCCGATGGCTTAGGATTAGGCATGTGATCTGCCGCCGGACGGTCCTCCTTCTCGCGCGGCGCATCTTCTGGATCTGCCGTGGCGTGGGTGGGGAGAGGGGGAGGGGGAGGGGCCATCGGAGCAGATTCTTTGGATGGATGGCGCGGGTCAGTAGGTAGCTGGGAATCAGCCATCACGGAAAAGCAGGAGAACGAGGGGAAAAAGGTCACGCGAGTCGTAAATTGATACTTCTGTGCATGCCGCGTCATGCTGCAATCATTGCAATGTAGATCTTTGAATGGTACTGTGAGGGTCGGCTAAATGGGACGCTGCTTATATGGGAAACTCGTTATACTGTACATGTATGGGAAAATCCCATTTAACCGTTTGTAATTCGTTATCACCTAAACGGACTTTTTCTCGTGAAAACAGACTTCAGCGTGCACTCCTGTGATCGCTCTGCTCCTTTTTTAGAGGTCTCACAAATCAGTGCCGCTGGATAAGGCATGAACGGACGAATCACTCTGTCAATCTCTCGAATCATTCTCTCGAGTCACACGATTGTGTGCTTGCTTGTCAGTCAACAATCAATGAGGGATCATTGTCATTCATTCATCCATTCATTCATTCAGTGAATCACTTCATCACTACAGACAACCCTCCTCGGTTGCTTCGCTTGGGAGTGGCCGGCCATGGGTGTCTCACATCACCCATAAGAGAAACACACACCATCTCCCTCGTCGGGTTGCCCGCCGGGGCAGTATTGCAAACATTGCTTCCCAGTGCTCGATTGAGGTGTGTTGGTGTGGTGCGTGACTGTCTCTGCATGATTCATGTGTGTTTTTGGACATTCCATCACTCAATCTGTCGAGTGCTCGTCGCATTCCGTCACTCATTCGCCAGTGAATCACTCCTGCTTGTCTGTCTCGCCCAAGCGACGCTCAAGCAACTGCTTTGCTCGCTCTCCTCGTCCTCGCCGCCGGCCGGGTTGCTTTTTTCTTCTTTTTTCCGGGCCAAGCTCGACGCCAGGCGAGTCAGGTGGCCTGCTGGGATGCCCTGGTGACTCAGACGTACAAGCAGAAGGCGTGTGAATTTAGGCCGGATAAGTGGGACACGGATATATGGGAAAAACGTTTAATGGGACGACCCTGACAGTCAGAGTAACCATACGGTTCCGGTAACAGAGTAACCATACGAGCGCACGGAGAAGTCCGTTTCACTCCGAGAAAAAGTCCGTTTCTAATGAGAGCGAATTTGGTTTGGACTGTCAGTCCTTTTGCTGACAAAGGACGACACGTAGCATGTCCGTTTGCACCGGTGCTTCTTGACGTAGTTGTGGCATATCCCCAGGTGGGGCAGCCCCGGTATGTCACCCAGAGTCTTCTGCACACAGAGGCAGGCAGGCAGGCAGGCAGGCAAACGACGGCATCAACAGATGAGTGAGTGGGATGGGTGTCTGTGTGCACGTGAGCGGCACTTGCCCGATAGATGTCGGCCAGTGTCCATAGAGAAGGCGCGCTGGCGAGGGCAGGCAGGTTCAGCCTTCCCAAGTCCACATTCACACACAGATCACCCCGAGACACCAGCCCACCCTCCAGCCAAGTCACCACCCTTCTCAGCAGCTCCCCTCTGGCGGCCTCTTCGTTTGCCGTCCCCCCCTCCCTCGCCGCCACCCATCCCTCGATCTCCCCAGTCTGCAGGTCGTCACATGGGAATCCCGCCTCAGGCTGTGGCGCCCCTGAAGGAGACGCCAGGAACATGTTGGCCCACTCGGCTTTCCTCTCCATGTTGATGCGAAAGTTGGGCTCGAGGAGGCGCAGACCCCTGAACTTGGCCGCGATGTAGTTGATGGGGATGATGCGGTGCACAGGCACTCGCCTGCCCCGCACAAACACGGCGGGGATGAGCAGATCTCGTCTGGTGAGGATGGCCAGGTGGATGAGAAGGAAGAGCGACTGGCGGCCCACAATGCCGATGACGGTTTCGTCCTTCTTGGGGCCTTCGAGATGGATCTCCGCCTGCAGGATCTGCCTGCCTCGGAGGTCGTAGTGCGAGGGCGTCCACCACACGCCCAGCATTCGCATGATGAACACCTTGAGCGGCTTCATCTCGAAACACGTCGCGTGGAAGCCCGCCGAAGGCCGGGTGAACTCGTCCAGCAGCGGCTGCTCGCCAAGAGTCCAGGGGCTGTTCCGATGGAGCATCATGTTGCGAAGGGCCGTCTCAGGGATGACCTGACACAGCGGCTTGAGCCTCCTGCGAAGGATCCGCCAGTCGTGGCCGCCAAGGGCCTCGGCGAGAGCAGGGTTGGCGGGGTCTCTGCCTTGCTCCCCCAGCGGCAGCTTTGGCTGTGTGGTCTTGCCTCTGAAGGCGAGTTCGATCAGGTTTTGGTTGTGGTGGAGGTTCTCGTCACAGGCCGCTTGTGTGAACTTCTGGCCGTACTTTTGGGGATCCATATTGCTGACCTGCAATGCACACAGAGACAGGGGGACAATGGGCGACCCCCCTCACTCAATCTGCTCATTGCCCATTCATTCATCAGTCACCTGGAGCATGTAGTCCCTCTGCCCGAAGTCGATGGCCTCTGGAGTCGACCGCAGCAGGACGGCACCGATGTTGAGGAGCGGTCGCCTGTTGACGCGCTTATTGTAGGAGAACTGGATCTCCCATGAGGGGTCGGAGAGGGGCTTGAAGGCCCGGAGAGGATTGTTGGCAAAGCCCACATCCAGGTCGGTCAGCAGCACATTGTTGCCGCGCCGCAGTGTCTTGACGCTGACACACACATAGATAGAGACATAGAAACGAAACTCAGAAGAGATCTCCGTCTGTCTGTCTGTCTGTCTGTCTGTCCCGTCTGTTTAAGGCGTACATACATATATTCCTTCTTCTGCGAGTCGGAGCTGAGTCTGCTGAGTGTGTAAGTGTTCTCCTCGTTCTCGTGGCCCCCCGCCTTCATAAACTTGTTCCTGCTGTATGTCTCAGCCTGCCCCGAAACCACGCTCTCGTTGGCCCGCATGCAGTGGACACAGGGGAACCGACCACACTCACGCAGGCACCGCTCGTCAGTGCAGATGACGTGCAGCGGCCGCTGCGGCAGCCAGTTGAACCGCAAGGCGGCGTAGTAGAGGTTCTCAACAAAAGCCATGAAACTCCCGCCGGCAATGGCAATCATCACCGTCTCGGCGCCCCTGACGTCCTGCTCCTGGTGCAGAGAGCCGAGCTGATCACGGAGAGAATCCCACGGCACGAAGACGCCGGCCTTGCTGGTGCTGTTCTGAGCGCATTTGGGAGCCCATGTGCCGGTGGTGGAAGGGCTCTTGCGATGGGCTGGATGCCTTCGTTGGCCGTCTGGGTGGCTGGGATGGAATGGCCGTCCGATCGGCAGAATGAAGAAAACAACGAGTATGTGCAGGCTGAATGTGACGGCAGCCAGCAACACGCGTCTGACGGGACATTTCTGAGCCGCAGATCTATCGAGAAACGGCATTTGTGGGGGAAGATCTGCTCGCTAAGCTCGCACTGAGAAGGAAGGGAACCACGACTGACCTCCAGCTGTAGCGCTAAGCCTTCATCTGTGTGGGTCTGAGCCCTTTCTTTCCCCTCTCACCGCCAGGCCAGGCAATCCGCAAGTCTGATCATCGCGCTAACGCACGAGCCATCGCAGCTGATTGAGGACCAAGCCGCTGGCCTCGTTGGTCACAATGGACGAGGTCGCACCAGCTGACGCCAGTGCGGCCGCCCCCGCTGCAGACATCGACATGCCCGATGGACCTTCTGTAGGAGCATCGGCGCATCAGGGGACGGGAGCAGCGATGAGGCGCGAGCAATCAAGTTTGGCGAGTGCGGAGAATGGTGGTCCAGATGAGGTGGGCAAGAAGGTGGGAGGTGAGCGGGGTTGCCTTGTGGAGAGGCGAGAGCATCACGGGCCCTCAACACTGGCTGCAACACGGGAAGGTGATTATGGCAGGCATGGCATGGCATGGGGGGATGGCATCATCGTATGTATGCCTGTGTGTGTGTGCGCGTCTGTGTGTATGTGTCTATCAGGGGCTTTGTCAGCGTTGCGTTGCTTGCTTGGGCAGATCGGCATTGTGTCTGGCCACGTCCCTGTGGCCTCCACAGGTACAGGCAAGATGAACAAAGACACACACCACGGCAGCAGATTGAGAGCATCATGTGCACTGCGCCTGCCTGGCTGTCTGTCTGCCTTTGCAGATTGGCGCATCCTGTATGACGTCAACCACGACGCTTTCTGGGCTCGTCTTGTCGCCAACGGATACGAGAACATCTATGGGTGGGAGAGGCGAATATACACATGCACACACACACACAGAGGGGCGCTGCACTCACATGACATGATGCGTGTCATGTGTGTGTGCATTTGCCCATCCATTCATCAGTCCGTATGTGACGTTGGATGACGCCCGCAAGCGTCACGACCTGGAAGCAGTCCGGTCATTCGGACCAAGGGTGAGCGGCACAGCACACAGCACACGTCACCCACTGACATACCTACCCACCTACACATCCACCTATATCTCCCTTCCTCCCTCCTTTGTTGCCTTGCTGCAGGACGCCGCCTCCATGGCATTCGACAGCAGTGCCCTCATGGCCGCCAACATGGACCCTTCCCTTAGAGACCTGTTGATACATCCCTCGCCCTCCACACACACCGGTGTGGATGACGAGAAGACCAGGGCGGCAGCGGCAGACGGCACTGAGGACCCACATGCACCACGACCATCGGCAGCAGCCGGGCCGTCACCGTCCACACAAGGATTCGCCCCCGATGCGCCGCAGAGCCTTAGTGTGGGCGTCGGCACGTCAAGGTCTTCGGCAGAGCTGTGCGACTACGATGCTATCGTCATTGGAGCCGGCACTGCTGGGCTGGTCGCCGCTAGGGATTGCCTCTCACACAAGCTGACAGTGGGCGTCTTCGAGGCCCGTGACCAAGCCGGCGGCCGCATCCGCTCACACACACTCGCCGGCACACCAACGCACTCACACCCATCATCGCAGGCCAGTGCATCATCCGCTGGCCAAGCAGCACCCACCAGTGCCGCTGGTGCTGGTGCTGGTGCAGGTGCAGCAGCAGCCAAGGAGGATGGCGTGATGGTAGAGTTGGGGGCCAACTACATCCATGGCTTGGGCGGTGTGGGGCCCGTCGATAAGAACCCCTTGATCGGTTTGGCGAGGGCTCAGGGGCATGCCCTTGGTTGGGTGCCGGGACGGGAGGGCGTGAGCGAGCCGTGCGACATCGCCGCCTTCATGGATGTGGGCAGCGGGACGCGTGTTGACCCCGTCAAGGTGGCCAAGTGTGACCTGGTCTTCAGGGCAGTCCTCCAAGAGATCAAACGGAGAGGTGCGTGTGTGCCAACATGACCATGACCACGGAGGCATAGCGGCACTCATCATCTTTATGCCTGCCTGCCTGTACATGTGTGTGTGTGAGTGTGTGTTCAGCTCGTCACGAGTTCAATCCGTGTCAGAAGCATCCCCTGTGGCAGCAGACGCCCCCCACCCTGATGCACAGACAGTACGACCTCGCCATCGGCAGCCAACACACCACCGGACGGGTGTGCGCACCCGATGACCCACGCCACCACCGCCCCAACGAGCCATCTGCCGTTGCCATATCCTCCACTGTTGCCATCCGCGAGACCACCCGGCGTCACGAGATCCAGTTGTGGAAGGACCATCAGGGCGAGATCAGCCGTCTTGTGGACACCATCCTCCGCCCCCCCACATCGAAATGGCCTGAGGCACAGCTCCCCCTTTCGTCGCACGACGCCCTTCGGCGACGCCGCGCAAAGCACCGCAACCCGCACAGACCGTCGTACGCCGACATCGCCCTTGCTACCACGAGACCAGGCAAGCTGAAGGAGCAGTTTGAGGCCCTGCTGGCCGCCACGGCTCCCCATGACTCCCTCCACATCCAGTGCGTGCACCTCTTCCGCAACAGCATCGCCTGGTGCGTCGACGTGCCAGGCAAAGACAAGGCGTATGTCCCCATCATGGTTCGCACACGCGAGAGCGCTCGGGCGGCACTCGATCGGGCGCTGTTGATCCGCGAGAGGCTGCGTCGGCAGGCCGGATGGACACCCTCGCAGCACCAGCAGCCGGCCGATGGATGGACCGGCGAGGTCGATCCCGCAGCCGTCCTGGAGGCGGCAGCAGCGCGGCCTGACGAGAGTGACGACGAGAAGAAGAACAACGAAGAGCGGCCCAAGAAGCGGCACAAGACGGCGCGCGGCGGGATCAAGGGAGAGGGAGGCGGGAAGGACAGCCGTGGGCAATCTGCAGATGGCCCGCGTGTTGCCAAACGCAAGCCGCGACGCAAGAGCAATTGGGGTGGGCCTCGCCCTGGTGCGGGCAAGTGGATAAGGCGGCCGAGGACGCCAGATGGAGACCCCCAAACCTCTGACGACGATGATGCGAACGAGTCGATGATTCTGGCTGATCGATCCGGCCTCTGGGGCGACACTCTGGTGCTGCGCAGGCGTCTGCTGCCCAAGCCTGCCAGGGGGTCGGGCCCCAGCGGACAACCGGCGAGCGGCAGTGACAGCGACAGCGAGGGGGCGGAAGGCAATGCCGTGGTGGACCAACCGGATGGTGACGATGGTGATGATGGTGACATGGAGGGTGAGTTCGGGTCGGATGACGGCCTCTCGGGGGACGGCTGCCTGACGAGGGCAGTGGGCGTGCGGGGGATCAAGGGGGCAGTGGCCGTGCGGGGGTGCCAGGTGGAGCTGCAGCGGCAGCGTGCGGCCGATGGCGGCACCTCCCACATCTCCCTGAACGTCCGCAAGTCAGCGGGGCGCATGGTCAAATCGATATCATTTGACGTGCGGGTCACATCTGGCGCTTCACATGGGAAACTTCTCGCGTCCATTCAAGTAGAGCGCCCGTGGAGGCGAGAGCACATCCGTGCCGCCCTCCAGAAGGCCGTCGAAGCTAGGGACCAGGTACGTACCGTGCGCACGCACTGGGAACGACATTTGAAGGGGATGGGGTGAGTGAGATGCATGCTGCTGTCGTTTGTGTCTTAATCTCTTTCTGTCAGCACTATTGTGGCTCCGGCAACCAGCAGACGGCTGGGGGAGATCATGACGCTCAGGCAGATGGCACTGCCATGGACATGGACCACAGTGGTGGTCTCCGACTCCGCAATCGTCTGCTGTCCAAGCCCAGCACGGCCGCCCGCGTCAATGGCGAACCCAAGTCGCCCTCCGCCAGACCCAGCAGGTCACCGTCAGCGAATGGCAGCCGCAGCAAATCGCCCCCTCTCCCGTCCTCTCCCGCCTTGCAGCATCGCGAGCAGACAGAGGACGTCGACATGGACTGCGATGACAGCAACAAGGATGAGCCTCCTGTCAACTCGACCCGCATGGACAGGGGCGACCCAGACAGCGAGCCGCCGGAGCAGAACAGCGGCAGCAAGACACCCCGTGCCGAGGGCGCTGGTCGCACGCCACAGCCCCCCCCACCGCCAGCTTCTGCAGAGGAGAAGCCAGCAGCTGCGGGCAAGAAGCGGCGTCGTTCATCCGAGGGGGACAATGTCGAGTCACTCGCAAAGGATGAGGACGAGATGGACGACGGCGACATCCAGGGCAGGGAGGAGGGGGAGGAGGGCAATGGGGCTGACGGCACCATGACACGCGAGGAGGCCATCGCATTTGCTCGTGCGGAGTTGGATCGTCATGGCAGGCCCAAGAATCTGTGGCTGGAAGTGCCCAGCAGCAGGGAGGCATTCAGGTTGACGGTCCACTTGGCCAGGGGCACCGAGCGGCTCAGCAAGACGCTGTCGGTCTCACCCCCGTGGACGGCGCAGTCGGTCCGCGAGTCTTTGCGTGAGGCCATGGCCAACCGCGAGGCCATGATCGCCCGTCGGCATGCCATCGCCACACGGCAGGGGTCCCGCAGCCGGAGCCGCTCCAAGCGTCAATCCCGCCGGCAGTTCCATGACAACAGTAGCGACGACGGCAGCGGCGAAATGAGTGAGGACAGCAGCAGCAGGAGCGGCAACCACCACAGCAGCCAGGTCCCCGAGGAGGGCCATTCCAACA